TCCAAATTGTTTTGGAGTATTTCACTGATTTTAACACGATGATTGTAAAGTAGTGTCTAGTGAGTACGGGGGCTAATGACCCATCGTAAAAATCTGAAGTTGAAAACAAAAATCTTGTATAACCGAGTAGTACACAATTTTAGTTATTTTATTGAGTTGTGAAAAATCACAAATTTGTTTCTTCTTGAATGTGTTATACTCTCATCCATTCAGTCTTTCCGATATGTCCGTCGGATAGCGGAAGTTAACGTAAATGATCGATTACCTGAAAAGAAGCTACCATCCTAACTTTCCACCTTCGGGTCTTTTCCCTAGCCATAATTTTTTTCCCTCAAGGACTTTTTCTCTGTTTTACATAATAATTGGTCTTGCATTCAGCTTATTGATTTTGAGAGCCTAGTCCTATGCCGTATTCTGATGCGATCTACTTTATGTAGCTTTCCCCCCATCTAACAGCTCCTTACTGAACAAAAACGGCTTTAATTGAGTCTATTCAAAGAACTAGCCAATATTTTTGCAGGGGTAAGCACAATGTTCCTAATTCCCCTAGTCCCCTTCTTAGACGCTTTCATGTGCATCAGGTGTTAAATTTTCTTTTCATAAGCTACAATGCTCATAATCGCGCATTCTGATGTCATTTATGCTTAAAAATTAAAAATTAGTTTATCGAAGTAAGAGTGAATTAAAGGTGTCATGAGGCGTTTGTGATTTCATGAACTATTTGACGCGGTCCTTTTCTTACGGCTTATGTCCGTTGGTGAAATCGCTACTTGGGTTTTCTTGGATTGAAAAGGGCGGGCTCTTTCTAAACGTGGCGTTGTTTATGGGACCTTAGTATTCAGAACAGAATCAGTCGATGGCAAACAACGAAAAGGCTTTTATGTGGTAAGTTACAGTGATGAACCTTGCCTCGAGATGGTCATATTTTTGTACATACCTTCATGCAATTCAGTGTTGGTCTGAAAATTTTTTGTTATGGATGGGGGAAGGGTGGGGGGGGGGATCAGAACATGTACCTCGTGTTGTTTACGAGACATTAAAGTAATGAAAACTGTTAAACAGTCTTCTACAAATCAAAATAGTTGCAAATGCTTACGGGAGGCCCTAACTATATGATGATAAGAAGGGCTATATTTGGAAAGGTGCATGGTCGTGGAGTTAAGGAGATTTGACTAATCAACCAATTTCCCGCTAAACATAAGGGCGTGGCCAGTGGCCCCAAAATTGTGTTCGCTCGCCCCGGGCTGGCTCGACTTTTGGGATACGGTTATGGGGTTATAAACAATCAGTTCATCATCTATATAGCCTACTCGCCCCACGTGACTGCATTTCGCTTTTCAGAGACCCATCAGTTACTGTATGACCCTCTCCGATCAGATTTTATGTCCGTGGTACTGGTGGTGAGGTCAGTCTACAAGCAGAGTCGTGAAAAACACCGCCACTTGAGCCTTTACGTTCAAAACATTCCTGGCTATCGGGAAAAAAAGAAGGAGCTTTTAAAAATACTAAATAAAATGTCTTTTCAAATATCACTTTGTCACCGTTCGAAAATTATTGTGAATCAGACCGAATGAAAGTTCAAAGAGGGGGAGGGGGGAGGGGGGTTGGTAGTTCTAAACAGTTCCAGTTAGCTAGAAAATTAAAAGTTACGAAAAAATAGTGGGCGAACTGCAGAATACATGCAAGAATGAGAAAGAAAATAGAAAACAACTTCCTGTTCAAATTCGGGGGAAACGTTTAATAGCGTCAAGAAGACTGAACTTGATTGAGGTTGTTCATTTCAGTTCCGTTCCAGCGTGCAGTTCGTTGTCCCCTAAAAATAGCTTCGTCTCCCACCGATCACTCCATGTCATATTTTGCGGACTTGTTATTCAGTAATGACGGTACGATCAGGTAATTTGACTTGATGAGTTCTTTAATTTCATTTCATGTACTAGTTTTATATCTTACGCTTGAAAGATCTGCCAAACAGTGTACATTAGCAAAGGTAGGTTCCTGTTTACACGTGTAATTATCGAATACCATACAATTTGCATAAAGCTACAGTGCACGGTTGGTTTTTCTAGCCTTTTGATTAAAATTGACAACGTTTGCGTTATCTTTGCCTAAGAAAATATGTAATTTGTAGCTGTATACAGCGAAATACTACAGAGAAAATAGTATCTGTGCAGTACACGAGCGGCTCCCGACTGGTCTGGGAAATCGAAGAGCGAACTTGAGCTAGTACCGTGTGTAACAAAATTTATAATTTTCATTTTAGCGCATATTTCAAGCTCTTCGCAAGATCAGAATCAAAAGATCATCTGTTTACATTTCAAGGGAGGGTTTTTTAAGCGATAGATAGGGTTTAAGAGGCACGATCAATTTTTAAAGAATTTTCTTTTCAAATATTCATCGAATTTTGTTTTGAAGTTTTAGCGGCCAAGTGGCTGAACCACTGCGCATTCATGCAATCATATTTCTGTTCCGTTGCATTTGCCCAATTATTTTATTCAACAATCTAACTTAGCTATAAACAAACTATGTTTAGTTAAAATGGCTTAGTCTAAATCGATGTGGCATGGGTGATATTGGCCTTCCAATTTCTACCAAATTTGTGTACCGTTAAAGTACCGAAAAAGTGCTGTGAGAAGTTATAGCCGTTCGTAGCTCAGGCTTAACCATTTTCAGATAAGAGTAGGTAAATGAAAGGAGGAAGGATAGTTCTTTGCAACTGTATGAGTCACGATTAAGTTATTTTAATGATAAGGCTAGAATTAATTACTGTAAATCTCCTTCAGTTCACCAACATGGCGGCCGCTCGAGGCCTCGTCAAAACTGTCATTCCTGTATCTTTGAAACCAACGAGAATTCGAACCTTAGAATATGCATTCAGTATTTAGGACACCATTCTAAGACTACATGCCAAAAATCAGCCAAATCGATGAGGTACCGTGTCAGGCCGAAGTTCGAATTTTACAGAAAATCACTCTTAAGCTCCTAACATTTGATTGCTCATTGATGTTGATCACCACTATCAGTTTGACAAAAGTAATGAATATGCGAAGACTACAATAGCCTGCTTTGCACCCGCTCGTCACGATTAAAGTTAAAATTGCGAAAGAGCGAGAATTCAAACTTTTTAAAATTTCCGCGGCAACTAAACTTACGGCTGGCCAGTAACGTTGTTTCGGCGACTGGATTAATTTGGGTTTATTGCCAGCAATTAATGTAAACTAGGGCTTAATAGGCCAAAAATATAAGTTGAACTGAGGACAAACCTGGTATCTTCGAAGAGGCACAAGCGAATCTTAGCTGGGGGTGACATTTGATCCAATCCACAAATGACAGCGATCGTTCGAGATGAATATGGTCCTCCCAGTGTAAGTTAGCTGTCTAAGCAACAGTTCAATCAACTCGAAATCAGCGTCTTCCTTTTGTACAGTTTCTCGATTAAAATTCATTCCAACTCGAGAAATACTCGTGTTGCACATGCAAAGTAGCATTACCAGAGTTTACCAAGATGTGATTATGCGCATGTTGAATTATTTTTCACAAGTTTTGCTGGCATTTGTGTTCGGTACAACAATAAAAACATATACTATTGATGTTTATTCATATACAATTAACGCTTAAAATTCTACCATTCAAAGACTAAACTTTTGTTAAACCGCTAAAATGTATAAAAAATATTTTCAAAAAAGGGAAAGGAACATCGCACTTTTTCAAAGAACTATGGCCCTGGACAATCAGCGCTCAACGAAGACTGTGTGAAAACTGCTAGAAACGTTGTAACAATGATTTAATCAAAATCTTTTGATGAAGTTCATTGACGCCAAGAAATATTGAAAATTGAACAAAAGGTCAGCAAACATGAGAAAACAGACTGTTGAAACTTTTTCAACGTTTTCTGTTCCGGAAGAGACCGGAACGGATATTCTTTAATCTTTCAAGAAAGGCAAACAGTCATGACAGTATAGTCTAACTCTGATATAAGATGTTAAGAAGATCAGAGATTGGACTACAATAGTTTCCTGTTTGGCTCATTATTCAATGTTACAGTTTTCAAATATAGCATTTTTTATTAGCCAGGGGAATCGAATGAAAAAGTGCTGAAAGTTGCTTTTCAGCATTTCTACAGTTTTGGAAAAGACAGAGCAACTTTCTCACTATAAAGATGATGAGGCGTTTATATTACGCCCAACAAATGCTTGATGAAAACATGCCTATATTTCCCGTGCCGCTTGGGAAATGCATCTGATTGGTCAGTTGCTGTTACTGAAACCCTGATCAAAGTCTTATTGAAGTCCCCTGAGTCCTGAAGGGTCGACCGTTCAGCAAAATGCTTTTTAATTATAGAATGGAGTTTCTTTCGCTAGTACAGCGAACTTCTGTAAGACTATATATTTTGTAACTTTAGCTTGTTTTTCAGTAATTCATATTTATCCAGGTAGTTTATTTAGTTACTTTACGATTATTATATTATCTGTTATGACTGCTGCAACCTTTCCTCTCCGCCCGCCTCGTCTAGCTTTTGCTATTTGCGGGTGGAGATGGCAAAATGATCTGCATGAAATAAAGTATAGTGTGTGTGTATAGTGAGACCTCTTGCCCGAGGCTATGCCATGCTGATGAGTCCTAATGAGGACGAAACACAACAAGAGAAAATCGTGGACCTTGCCGAGTCTTTCTCAAAAATACTGAAAATGGTAGCATCAGATTTTAAAGAACAAATGACTGTGGTTCCACTACCGCATAACTGCTGAGACTAGCATTATTTTTCATGATTACTACACGAAATAGGCTTCTGCCCTTAATTTACGTACGGGCAGCTTTACAATAAACTTACGACGATTGCAAACCAATGTAGTTTATTGACAAGGAGATTGATTGACATAAGACAGGGAATGCTAAAATATAAAAATGCCTATTTCTGCCTATGGTAGCAGCCTTAATGATATTATTAGCCAATAAAGTTGCCTACTGAGAACAACGAAAAAAAAGCCTGCTCTTCGAACGGTGTTTATCTTTGCAAATAAATGCACTCTCATTCGGAATCAGAAAAGTTTCACAGTACCAACTATTTACAATTCTCAAGAACATAAACCCAAGTTATTTAGCTAGGATAACTTTTATTCTACAATTTATTACAGTGATGTTCAACAGCTATGACTTATTACTGATTTTCTTCTTCCGCCCTCCTTTCCTGGGCGCCCGCGTTCTTGATCCAGCGGTAGTAAACGTGAGGCACTGAAACAGAGATCCTTCGCGTCACATAGGTTACGGAATACAAAGGTTAAAAAACAAAATTTATGTTTGATTTCATTTTTAATAAGAAGTAAAAATTCGTTAGTCTTGTAGTGTAGTTAAGAATTTTTGCGGCGTTTTTGCGGAATTTTCTTTCATGACACATCTCGCCGAAATAGCCATGTATACTCAAAAGCCAACAGGGACAATACAGGGCTCGAGCTTAGTTTTTTTAGTCCACTAGCCAGGCTTTGCTGGTAAGTTTTTTTTTTACTACTGTAGCTTCTAGCAAAAATAATAATTTCACTGGCTATTTTTTGTCTTCAAGGTTGACAGCCCGTTGAAAACGACGCACTTTTTACACATCTTGAAACAAAATCAAAAGTGGCCTATAAAACGTAAACTCGCGGTCGAAACAAGGAGCCTATGACCCATAGTCATAGGCTCCTGCCAAAAGTCGTTCTCAGTGTTTACCCAGTAAAGCGAACCTGTTGTCAGGGGTTGACAAGATACCCACTCTCATGTGTCAAAAATTCCTCAACAACGTTTTCCTTATTTCTCAATTTTTACGCTGGATAAAGGTTCACTTGCAAATGAAGAGATACAAATCACTTTGACTCTGTAGATGACTATCGCACGGGTCATCGAAACGTCAGTCACTGTCAACAACAGTCCTATTCACGACTACGTTCACCCGGACAACCATATCACACGAACTTATGACCTGAATCCAGCGTTGAAAGCATTTACCAGCTGGAAATGTTCGCTAGAACATATAATAGATGTTTTTATGGTGGGGGTGGGGGGGGGGAGGAGGGAGGGGGTAAGTTTGTTCCCCCTCTATACAAACGTCAGTAAAATTTCAATTTGTAAGGTTTCTTATTTTAAGGCGCTCTTTCTACCAATGTCGATGGATATTCCCTTACTTGTCTATTCTACGACTTGGTGAGTGTCAACTTCGAGCCCTGAATTAGCATTTCATAGTTTCAAATGACAAAGAAAAGTTACGCTACAAAGCATCCTTACCTGCTCATCAAGAAAGTCCACGAGTTTGCCAAGAGAGCAGTTGATACCGTCGGACTTTATCTGCTGGTGCAGTGAAACCAATTCTTGTGGCTAGAAGAAGCAAAAATAAATACACAAATTAAGGAAAAGCACAAGATATCAGACAAAATCAGGGTTCTACTCGGTGCACATCCAGAGAAAGGATTTTACATTGTGCTGTCTTTTCTTTTCCGAGCATTGTATCTATGTAGCTTATTATCTCGTCTTTTGCTTTTGCCTTTGTAACCCTTAAAAAAGGCAAAAAATTATGGGCTGCTCCTCGCTGGAACGATGGTACGACACCAAGTGTCTCTGTCCGGTTCAGGCTCAAATTCAGTTCACAAGGTGGATAACGTTATCTCGCACAGGATAAATATCTATCCACTGGATGGTGATTTACCCAGTGGATGGCGTAAAAGTAAAAGCGACAAACCTGTCTGCCGTCTCCAACAGATAGATTTCCAAACCACTGTCAACATTATACAGCGCTTTTATCGCCGGTTAGTCAATTGGTCGATTCCATTTACATATCACTGTGTTAAACAATTTGGCAGAAGGCGAATAAGGCAAGGTGTATTTGATTGATCGTATCCTGGAATAAGATTACGCAAACGTTTTGATGCAAGTCAATTGTACCATGTTCTTTTGGGCCACTAAAACGGTACAATCATCGGAATATCTTATTTGAATCAGATTTTTAGTCACTGCAAAGCAATAAACGCCAAAATGAGTCAGATTTCAAGAGTTTACTCCATGCACCTTATTCCAGAATTCGGAAAATCGAAAACACCCTAAGGGTTTTAGCATTGGACAAGTACAGACGACATCACTGGAAGATGCTTCCTCATGAAAAGCTAATTACAGTTCGTTGTCCAAGCATGTGATTGAATTTACCTGAAAGTTAAGAAGCTTCTTGTACAGTTCTTTGTTACTGGTAACGTAACTTAAAAGCTTCTCTTTCAAGTTACCTCCGTTAGCCTAATATTAAAAGACAAAAAAATCGTTTCAAGATGAGTATACTTGACCCGGTAAGTTGAAGCCACACGTCACAGTGAGTCCTTTCGGTTCGAAGACGAGAAGGACTACGGGTACGACATTTGACTTAATGTTTTTTCGCGTGCTGTCAAAAAAAAGTGACTACGGAATGCTTCGTTATACTTTGTATTTTACTTGAAAAGTTAGCACTGTTATCTTTATTGGAGGACGTTAAGCCCTCACCCGATCGTAAAATAATAAAACTGTCAACATTTGACAACTTGTTCCCGCCACTTCAACATTCTCGCTAAAACCCAAAGGCCATCTTACAGGGGAACCTCGATATAACGAAACCTCGTTATAGCGAACAAATTTTTGGCCATTCGTTGTATCGAGGTTCAACTGCAGACTGAAGACGGTTACCAAGTTTTCCCGCCAACATGACGCTGGTTCAAGCGCGAGCTTTAATGGCTTAGTATTTAGAAAATCTCGTCTTCGTAGTCGTTCTTGTGTTAGAGTCTAAAGGTCTCTAATTGGCAATCTCTCGGCGTCTTTGGGGATTGGAAAATACACTTGACGTCAGATGTGAGGTATTTAACTTGGCATGCGTTTCAAGTCATTATTATCATTGCTTAATAGCCAAGGAAAAACCATTCCAAGTGGATCTAAAGAGCAGGAAGGCACAAATCTTATCTCCTAAATAAACGCTACCGAGCACTGCTTTCCTGTACTGTACAAGATGGTCCTGACTTCAAGAGTCTGTAGAGGAAATCCTACTAGTAGCCGCTGAAATATAAGCTTTCAAGCAGTACTTTCAGGGGCACCCAACGACAATTTTCGGAAAATTATCTGTTCGGAAGACGATTTGAGGTCTAGAATTTTCGGATCATTTTCGGACAAATTTCTTGCTTGCCTGCCTCTCCTAGGATTTTCGAACTTCAAAAAAATCGTATAATTGCCCATTTTTAACGGATTTTTACGCTAAAAAGGTCACCTAGAATTTTCGGGAGCCTTTTTTCTGGCTGAAATTTTCGAAAAGGTAAATTTTGATCCCTATAATTTTCGGATCACTATACTTTCAGCTAAGAAATCCGAACAGATGAAAAATTTTCAGGGGATAAAAATAAGCCTTTATCTACCGTTTAAATACTAAAGTACGTTCAACAATGCTATGTTTATGTGGTTTTGAACTATACTATCGTTGGGTGCCCCTGTACTTTGCAGCTAAGGCGATGTTTATCACGCTGTTCTTTGTACATTCTACTACACAAAGCCATTATAATTATAAAAACGTTATCCAACCTGCTGGGAAGCCGTGATAGCCTCGTCTTCAATCATTACTGTACAGTCACCGAATTCTGTGTCTTCTTCATCGCTGTTCAGGTAAACAAATAAAAAGGTGGCACAATAAAAATGACTAAGGGTAAAACAAAGCGCTTCAACCCAATTAAAGATTAAGACAAAAAAGATACCGAAAACTGCCGCTTATAACCCCTGGGCTCGGCTTATACGTCTTCGTAAGGGGTTTAAGGAGGGCTTATAACCGGGGGCTTATAACAGGAATAAACAAAGTGCTTCGAAACAAGCCATAAAGCCGGTCATTTTTTTTCGTTTACAGGTAGATGGACCCATGACTGGGGCGGGGGGGTTATAAGGGGACTTAGGGTGACGTTACACGAGACGAATCGCAACGACGATTTTAGCGCACCACAGACACGTTACAACATCAAGGTCATTTATACGAATAAGACGCGTCTTATCTACGACGATTTTATTTTAGACGAAATGTGCCGTTTATACGGACAGTCCGCGTCTTATTTAAGATGCGTCCTATGTAAGACGCGTCTTATTTATCCTCGTATAAATGGCCCTATTGTTCCAAAATTGTAACGCTGTGTTGCGCTCAAAATCTTCGTTGCGAATCGTCCCGTGTAAGATCACTTTTACAGGAGTAAATCAACAAGAAAACAAATCTGGCTTGAAACGCAACGATCCTTTTTGAGAGTTTGGGACGATCATTGCGGGACAAGCTTGGGAGACACTCAATAAAAGCAGTGTAATCAACGACCTGCACTCGGAAAATCTTACCAATAAAAACATCAACATATTTTATTCACATCAACCGCGCTGATTGTAGCCAACAACTCAATTGATATAACGTTCAAGCGAAAATTATTCTTGAAAGTAGTCTGATTAAGAGCAAGCCATCCTAACTCCACTGTACCTGTTGTCGCTGCTAGCTGTTCCGCTTCCCTCTACTCCATCAACAACATCCGTCGGCACAACATTAGACGACGCGGGTTGACTGTCGCTGACAGCTTGTCCTTTTTCACCTTGTTGTGGGAGGGTTTCAACTGTTCAAGAAAAAAAAAACTTCATATTCACCATAACTGGTCACGCGATAGATGTCGGTGACTATGTTGTGGTTCAATTTTATCCTTGTTTTAGATTTTATTTCCTTTGGTTTGGGGTATGGTAATGTAAATAAAATTTCAACCAAGGGTAAAATTGAACCACAACAAGCTATTTTCACAAAATTTAGACAGAAACTGAATCTGATACGGCTTGACTAGAGATGTATCCTACCCAACAGCCGAGGCACGAGGAACAACGAACTAAAACATTGGGCGGTGATGTTCAGCCGTTGGCCTTGTCTCCTTTATCCTTTGTTCATTAATCAAATCGAAGGGGATATAAAACAACCCACACTACTATTCGAAAAGGGTAGCGGACCTTTTTACCGGTGTTGTAGTCTACCTTGCATACATCATTCATATCATGGGTTGGGTGGTTAACCGTAAGCTCATAAATGGACTGATAGCGGCTGCCAGTGGCGCCTTTGTAAGCTGAAGTCCGAGCTTACTGTTAACATGTTAACATATAATGAAAAGAGGACACGTCTGTTGTGCTCTCATCTAACGAAAAAAATGGTGACCTAGAAAAGACGCCACAGTTGTAACTTAGATATTGGTCAGTTGTGTATTTTTTTTTCCTTTTTATGCTGCCAGCTTTTCTGGACACAGGCCTGCCCAGAGGGAATGTGCACGAACGGGTCCCATGCGAGGTGCCATCCCTAACCAATCCCACAACCCGTAAAGGTTGACCACACCACCGGGGTTTACAACCCCTACTCTTTTTGAATAGTGATGTGGGTTCTTTTACGTTCCACAAGAAAAATCAGTGAAAGTGCTATGAGACGGGACCTACGGTTGTCGTCCTTATCCGAAGACTAGAAAGCCTAACCATTTGCAGATCTCATTACAAAGGCAGCACTTTCTTTTCAGTTATTTAAAGACCCTGAGTTTTGGTCCTGCCGGGGTTTGAACCCGCGACCTCCCGCTCGACAGACCGGCGCTCTCCCAACTGAGCTAAACCAGACGGCGGTGTATATAACACCCTGCAACCCAAATTTCTCTCCTTGTTTTTCCCTACATCAAGGGCAAAATAATACTCCTCAGAAACTACAAGAAATACAGAACAAGCAGAAGTGCTGAACAATACCTTGGTGCGTATAATCATAAATTTCTTTCAATTTCTTAACCATCTTTTTCTTCGGAAGAGGACGAACACCAAACTTTTGCAGCTCAATCTAAGAAAAAGATGCTTGTCACATGAGAGTAGCGCAGGGCTCCTCAAGAAATAATGAGATGGCTCACTTTCTTTGGAGCGCCTTTAACCCTTTAAGCCCTAAGAGTGATCAGCGTCAAATTTCTCCATGTAATATCAATGCTTTATAAAACAGAGTGGTTGACATGATCACACAAGATGACCCTTCAAGAAAACGTTAATTTTGAATTTTGATGTTAGGGTTTAAAGATGTACATCACACAAGCTTAACAACTCTTGACTCACCCTGAATTTTGTATCTTTAATAATCAATTCATCTTCCAAGGTTACCAACGTAAGTAACTAAATCATAGGGATTATGTCACACTGAAACCCAATAACGGCCGACTTCGCCCTCGAAAAAAATCCCTCTTTTAGGTCGGCGGCGGAAGTATCAAAACACTTATAAACCATCGTTGAACAAGTTCTAAGTTGAAGGCGGCGTATTTTTCTAGCGATATCCACTGTTGCGGTACCGCTAATTCAGCAGCCGCTATTGCTATTTTCATGCATTAAAGCGACCTTTAGATTCTAAGACGAGGAAGACTACGAGTGCGAGATTTTCTCAGAACTACGTGGTGCACAAGCGTGAACCAGCTTCACTTTGGCGGGAAAACGTGATAACAGTCGCCATTCTACAACGGGTTTTAGCGAGAATCTAGTCCTGACGTCCTTAAATCTAACTATAATACGCATAAAAAATACGTTTCAAGGCATATTTACCTTCAATACAGGAGTGGCCATATCGTTGTAGTTAGGCATGGGTGTCACTCGCCCGCTAACTGTCTGTGCCGTTGCTTTTCTCGTCTCACTCTCTGCTTTTTTCCCACGCTTGTTCTGTGTCTTCTGCGGCTTATCCTCCTCCTCATCATCATCGTCCTGCTTTCTCTGCTGTTGACTGGGAGGAATCTTTCTTTTGTTCCCGCCAGCTTTGGAAGCCTTCTCCTGCCGTGAACTCTTGCCTTTCTCGGGATGACACTCTTCTTGCTCGTTGAAGTCAACTTGATTATCGTTCTTCAAACGTTCAAGATTCTGTAACTCTTCAACGTCAAAATTATATCCGCCATCATCATGAAAATCCAAATCAGCATCCACTGAAATATTCTGCACCTCTTTCATCTCCACTGTAGATATTAACTCACTGTCTTTTTGTGAAGAAGCTTCCGTAGTCTTTTTCATATTTGGCACAAGTTTATTTTCCATACAATCCTCATCACTTCCATCTTCGTTAACATCTTTAACCTTGTAAATTTTCTTCCCACCATTGCGAGCAGCGCGAATCCTTTCCATTAATGGAAGGTTTAGATCAATCTCTATCACATCTGTTGACGGTCCTGGTTCCGTACTTTCTTTCTCTTTCTCTTTTTCCAAATCCAATTTCCTTGACGCGGTTTCTTGTTTTCTGCTTTTTCTTCTCGAGTTGGCAATTTGCGAGCTGAATGAACAAACCGAGGGGGAGACGGGTGAGTTAGATTCTGCACATGTACCCAGTCCACTCTCTGACTGAGTGGATTTCCAACCAACAGGAAGACCGGGCGAAACAGAATCTGGCGAACAAACAATCTGGTCTTGTAGCGGGGAAGCGCAAGGCAAAGGGAACCTGGGGATGAAATAGGCTCCAGGAACGAGTACTCAGGCGAGGGGACTGGAGGCGACATAACTTCTAACGGTCTAGATACATTCACGGCAGTTTGGTTGGCGCAGGATTCCACGATATCAACATCATCTAGGTTTTCAAAACTGACATTTTTGCCCCCAGGACTGTGACATTTAAGCAGTTCTGCTGACATTGTCTCCCCTTTCTCTTTGTACGCCGAATTTTGGGGTGACTCGTGTTGCTGTTGAAAAAGATCTGGCGAAAGTGGTGGCGAATGATCAAGAACAACACAATCAGAAACACAGTCCTCGTGTAACAATGTCGGCGACGCTCTGGACTGCTGAGAATACCCTGGAGATATCCGCTCTGGTGAGACACATCGGGGCTCAACATCTCTGGGAAACTCCTGCAAGGGCAAGTTACTGCAGCTCTCAAAATCCTGGGAATATTCCCTGCCGGGGAGGCAGTGGGATGTTGATGACTCCTAACGGAAGCTCGTACATCACAAGCCAATGGAGACGTATCAATACAGTCTTCTTGTCTTGAACCCCTGGGAATCTCCCCTACCGGAGAAGCAGAGCGACGCTGATGACTCCTTACGGAAGCTCGTTGGTCACAAGCCAACGGTGACGTATCAGTACAGTTATCTTGTCTTGAACGCGGAGACCTCTTTCTTGGAGTTCCATGTGTTACGGATCTTTCACCCGCCGAATCCTTCGTTCCAACTTTTTTCTTTCTCTTTCCTTTCCCACGTCTTTTATCTTTATCACGATCAACACGTTGCTTCAATTTGGACAAAAAGTCATTTGCTTCCTCGCTCAGCTGTTTCCTTGTTTTAGAGGGCGAAAAGCAGGTCACTCTAACGTCATCTTCTTCGCTAGCAGAAAGTGTTGATAGAGAACTGCTTGATGAGAAATGATGTGTGTTTCTTGTCACACGAGGAGTTTCTGGAACAACAGCAACGTCAGGTTCAGCGGGAGAGTCATCAAGATCCTAGAAAAGCAAAATAAACTCAAGAACATTCCAAAGCAAATGAAGGTGTATGACAATTAGTTTTACGTTTAAGGTAGATAAGTTACAGGTTAAAATTAGATTCACGTCAAAAAATTTTTAACCGATGTTGATTCTCAATTTCCCTTGTCTCCTAGCCGTACAATCTAGCTTAAAAAATTCTACCCTGAATTTGATATTGACCTGTTACAGATATACTCTTCTAGGGGCCAAACGCTAACTTTAAATTAATCCACAAGCTCAAAAGTTTGGACCCCCCTGTAACAGCACCACAGAAGAGTACTGTTCAAAAGCTTGCATTTGAATGAGGACACTTTAGCATTTAATCCACAGACTCGAACGTTGAAACCACCTTGTACAGCATGATAAACAGTACCACAAGAAAGTACTGCTCAGTGGCTTTAATTTGAATGGTCACACTTTAGGATTTCATCCACAGACTCAAACGTTAGAACTAGCTTGTATAGCATAAAGAACAGAACCACAGGAAAGTACTGCTCAGTAGCTTTCATTTGAATGGCCACGCTTTAGGATTTCATGCAAGACTTGACAGTTAGAACCACCGCGTATAAAGTAATAAACAGAACCACATAAACGTATTGTTCAGTAGCTTTCAGGTGAAGGGTCAAATTTTAGGATTTCATGTACAGACTTGAGAAATATCCACCGCCTCCTACAACACAACAATCAAGAAATCATTACCGGAAGAAAGTACTGCTTAGTACCCTTAGACTCAGAAGTACTGTTCTCGATTTGAGTTCCTGAGGTCAGATAACTCGATTCAAATGTTACAATAAAATTCAAGAAACCAGACGAGTAACTAACCTCCTCGTTATTATCACTTAATAATGTGATGGACTCGTCTGCAACTTTCCCGTCGACTTCATCATCGTCCAGCACAGTAACTTCCCGAGTGGACCCTTGTAAGGTTTCGTCAATGTCCCACAAACCTTCCCCCGAGGGGGGTGATAAGCAATCAGCACGCTTGTGTGCACTTTCATACGGGACATCGAGGTCCTCGTTACTGTGGGGTTGAAAATCCGACAAAGTTTCATGAATAGCATCCAGATCGCTAACATCCTTGAAATCGTCAACATTTTTTCCGTACTTGTCACTGAATGACTCTTTCGACATGCCAGGAGAATGTTCATTATATTCCAACTCAAATTCCATCACACAATCTCCATAGTCACCAGGTAATTCTTCGTTGTCACTTAGTTCTTTCACAACCTCGTTGTGTTCTCTCACGTCAAGTTTCGTTTTGTCATGTCTACCCTCGACATGATTCTGAGGCTGCTCACTGACTGGACCCAGTTCACAAGTGGAAATACATGTATCACGTGATGAGTTTCTATCCTCACAAGAGAATGTTTCTGATTTTTCTGTTAACTCGTGTACTGTTTTTGACGAAGTCAATGGTTTCACCTCATTTTTCGCTAAGTGTTCCTTTGGTGAAGGAGACTGTTTATCTTCAATCATTTTTTCCTCGTCACCTTCGCATGATATAAACATTTCATACTCGTCTTTTCTTTCAGTAACATCGAGAGGCGGGGCGGTTTCTCTATCGCCAGCTGAATTGCAGGGCAAGCCATTTATTTTACCAAAATCATGCGGTAGGTTAACTGTTACAACATTATAACGAGAGAGATTACCTTCATCAGCAACACTATGCGACAGACTACCCTTGTTCATGTTACCGCAAGTTTCTGACCTCTGTCTTTTCTTCTCCAAAGAATCACACCTTGACTCTTCATCACGTGTATTATTATTTACCACAGTGCTTACTTCACCTGCTGCTGAAGTATCTTCATTTTCAGTTTGTTCTGTTAGAAATTTCTCATCCTTCTCTTCTAAACTTTCACCTCCGACACTCCCTTTCATTTTCAGAGCTTGAGTCTGAAAAAACACAATTTCTTCAATATCATCATCGTTCAAGAAATCATCTTTGTCATCTCTCTCTTTTTGACCATCTGATAATTGACCATCATCATCACCATTTCTCCACAGATTTTCTTCGAGCTTCTCCAAATCAGTAACAAGGTCGTTGTTTTTGTTGTCATCCTCTTGGCTCTCGGATACTTGATTCATCTGCTGCCTCATAACTTTACACGCCTTTGCCAAACAAGGAAGCTTCAACCTAGAATGAAGAATTTCATGAGCTAAGGCATTGACATTCAAACGTTCGATAGCGCTATCTCCCAGATTAATCACTGCCCAGCGGACAAGTATTATGGAGACCGCTTTCGTTATCAACTGAACAAAGATTTATCCAGTGGATAGCCTTAGCCAACTTTTGAACAACTGAGGAAAGAACATCAGACTTTCCCTGAGATTTTTTAATCGCAGCGTAGGTTGTGGGGTGATTTTCATTTTGAGTAGTAGTAAGCATAAACAAGGCCACTGTAGAGAAATCGTCACCCGATGGAGGAATACTACTGAGGGAAAAGTTTTCGTTTGTAACCACATACAAGTTTAACTTTAAGCTTAACTCTAAGCTTAACTGGCTTCCGTACGCAGGGGAACAATGTAAAAAAATAATGGGAACAAGGTAAGCAAATCAGTACCATTGTAACCGGTCTCTAGAGTGGAAAAAAATACGCACTGTATTTGAGTGTCAATGTATTTACCACGAAAGTAAAATTTGAGGACACTATTATTACGTCTCCTACTGGACACGGGACCGCCATTTTAATGCGCCATCCGAGCCATGCTAAGGTTAGGCAGTTTGCAGGGCAAAGGCAGAACCTTGACTTCATGCCTCACTTGTTTAAGAGCATGAGTATTGGTTCGGCCCAGGAAATCGAACCTCACGAACTCCCGCTCTGCAGTCAAGTGCTCTACCAACTGAGCTTGTTCTGTTGTGCAAATGTCATTTTAGAGTCTGAGTGACCAGCTGTAAACGTCTTGAATTTATACCCTTATATGGGCTTGTATGGAAAAAGTACAAATAAGCCTTACCTTGCAGCCAAGTTTTCTACGTCATCTACATCAGACTGCACAGGGATGGTAACATCACCAGTGTATATGTGTCTTAACGCAACTTCAAACACAGGGAGGCAAACATCATCGAACTTCAGGTACACTTTATCCTGCCATTTACTGGAAGCTGTTTCCTCTGACAACAACTAAAAAAAAAGTACAAGAAAAGAGAGAATGCAAGTCACTTAATGTCTGGTCCAGCGGAAGATACATTTATTTTAGTTTTAAGGAAGAAGATAATAATCGTCATGTCTAGAGTGAAAGACTAAGAAAAATCTTGAATCTCTAACAGGAATCAAACTTAGCACTTTCCAAACAGTGTTGTTGCTCTCCTTACTGAGCTACGGGAGACGAATGGATAGTAAGGCCATTTACTAGGGTCATACAGTGTATGTAACAAACATCCTACAAAGTGCTAGGGTCGGGGAGGTCAAAAGCATAGTGTCTGTTAATGAGTACAAAAAGATGGGGAATTTTAGCTCCATAGAGAATGACAAAGATGTGATAGTAATCATGTTTGGATCCTTGGGCAAAGAAAATTTTTTCATCATGAAAGATACTCTTAGAAATCTTTAGTGTTGTTCTCCCAAGAATTGTTATTGTTCCCAAGCCAAAGGCAAGGGAAACAAGAAGACTCAAGCAGAAGCAAAGCTTATTATTACTGTTTCCTCTTCCTCATCTATCCACAGAATTTATACCATCAGAACTAAATTTTGTAGCACATACCTGTGCAAGCACATCAGACCTGAGTGAAAGGATAAAGCTGTGTGCTGCTATTTCCTGTCCATCTTGGAGACAAATAACAACATCGCTAAGATGTGGGTTGTTGATCATTGATGATAAATCTTGTAGAAGCTTTGGAACTCCACTAGGCACAGGTTCACTTTCCTATATGAATGGAAAAAAAATGTTGCAATTACCATGCAATTTATCACTTGTCTAGGCTTTAATCAGGTCTGTTATTCTCATGCCCCAATTTTGTGAAGATGAAGTTCTTGTCACCTAGTAAAAGACATATAGGTACCGTATCAACCCCTGTGAGGTTTATGGGTTTTACAGAGCTAAGTATGAAAAAACAGGACTATGCCCTACTATCACCCAGTGGTCCCCGACAATTACATGTAACTTTGGTCCCAGGGTAACTAGCACATCTTAGTTTTTGCAGAGACCCACATGCTGGGCCCTAATTAAATGCAAAAATTAAAAATGGATAGCTTCACCTGAAAATTAAAAAAAAAGGAAAAAAAAACTTTACCTGGTTCTTTTGATCTTGTTCATCAACACAGAAACCACTCGCTCCTATCATCTGCTGGGAATCTAATGATATGTTTGAGATATCATCTTCTCCAGCAAGCTCCAACAGCATTTCTACATTAACAGCTTGTGATGGTGTTATCTCTGGACATTCAGCAGTATCTTTTGTTGGACTCACTTGTACTTCTGTAACAGATCTTGGCCTTGTTTTAGTTCTCACAAGACTATTGTTGCCCACCGTTTCAACTGTTTCAATAGCTGGTTTATTTATGACAGTTGGAGCTGTTATACCATCAGAAACAGCGACTCTTTTAAGGCAGTTCTTTGACCTTGGTGGTGATGCAGGAGGGAGGAGGCCTTGTACATAAAATGTGTCACAAGATTCTTCTTTAAGAGCTGATAATGACCACAGAGGACTGGGACGAGGTGCCTGAGCATAAATGTAAAAGCAAAGTTAAAAACAAAACAGTCCCGGGTTTGATTCCTGCTCTGGTTCTCGGTCGTCCCGAGTTCCAATCCTCGGCCATGCTTGTAAATAGCCAACTGGTTGCCTCCTGCCAGTTGGGATTTTAAATCCTGTTATGTTGTATTTGAATTATTTGTTTTCTAAGTATTTACTGATTGTAAAACGCTTTGGATAACTAAGAGAAAGGTGCTATATAAGTGTATATCATTATTGTTATTATTATTATAATAATACTGTATAATATAATTGTATTATACAGTATGGAAAGAGTACAGCAAAGTACTGATCCCAACTAGAAGAAAATTTTTCCCTGGCCTTTTCTGCCCAACACTAATATCTGAAATAAGATGAGTGTCTAACTCATTTTCACGCATATCAGAAGACACTGAAAATAACTGTCATGGAACTATGTACAGTAAATATCTAGCACTTTGACCTTTCTTTACATGTCTCAAGAATTCAAACCTATAATTTTTCTTCTTCCTAAATTCACATTCAAAATCCAAGAAGAAGGAATAACACTAGGAGAAAATCCTGCTGGACTAAAAGTTGCACCTGAAAAGCGACACTCCATAGTGATGTTATGCTCTTATACCCACTATACTACCTGAATTTCAGCTGCTTCTCTTTCTTCATCTTCCACATCATACAGGAAATTAAGAAATGATTTGCTCAATGCAGGATCAACAGTGAAGGTCAACATTCTTAACTCTTCATGCTGCTCTGTATCATTTTCACTATCTACATCCATGGGCTTGTTGACCTCTTCTTTACAAACTGATGTAGCGCTGGTTGCATCATCAGAGTTACATCCTGTGGCATCTGTGGACACAGGAGGCACGCAGGATGGAACATGCTGAGCTAACCGGCTTGGTGCAAGAGCAGGGGTGCAAGATATCTCATCATCCTCATCATTGTCTTCCTTTAAAGGCAAAACATGAGTCCCAATTTAATGACTGACTGCGTGCATGAGTGGTCAAACCAAAGGTCAGGAGTGAAGATGGAAATGGAGAGTAAGGTTAAGGAGGGACGTGAAAATCTCATGCCGGCACTCTTGCCTTAAAAACCCCATTTTGAGAGACAAAAAAAAAACAGACTGTTTTTCACTCTAGTAAAGCTGAGGAAAACACTCAGAACATTTTTGAAACTTTTACGATAAGAGAGTTGCTGACCACTAAAATATAATGAAGATAAAGGCAAACTTCAATGAAAACTGGTGAAAGGAAGACATACTTGTGTGCAAAGCACTTGTGCTGCTCTTATAGCCACAGCTTTCTGGGCAGTCTCATCATCTCTGAGTAACAAGGGAGGCAGCTCATTTCCCCTATTTTAAAAGTACATAACATTTTGAGAAATAAATTATCTACAATATATTTATATTTTAGTACCATCATTGATGTTGTCAAAAAATTCCTTAGTTTGACTCCTTGGGCAAGCATAATTAAACAGCTAATTCAATAGACCAGTGTCCGAAAAATTATCAAAATTCATACCTGCCTTATTTATCACTGAATCTCAATGTGCTTTTGTTTAGTACCCCTCAGCCTTGCTGCTAAGTATGAATTGTTAATAATTTGAAACTAGCCTGTTAATGTTGTCTGATTTTAAGGCCTCAAGCCTTTGCATGATACAAGAACTTTTCATCATGGCTGAGTTTCATAATTTCTGTAATGAAAATTACCTGTATTGCTTCGCAGTCTCGTGATGTATGCTTTTTGTGATCTGACAACAATATTAATAATTAATATTGTTGTCAGATCACAAAAATTATCTGAAAACAGCCAACTGGTTCGTGCCACTTCCTACCAGCTGGGATTTTTTAACTTTGTTAAAACTGAGAAAAATTTGATTCGTTATCCTTGGAAAGTCTCTCAGCAGGAGAGGATCAAGTATTTATTTAGCATTGAAGTTACGAAAATATGAAAGTCATATAGGTGAACTGTGGAGTGAAGAATTAAATGAAGGATGATCATCGCAGTTTTATACGGAACTTTTGCAGCAAAACTGTGATGATCATCCTTCATTTAACTCAACATCATCATCATCCTTCATTTAACTCATTAAAAAAATCAAAATTGTCTCACCCTTTATTCTTTTTTCCTTTTCTTTTCCCAGTTTTTCCTTCACCTGCATCAGGGGGCAGAGGAGGGGCCATGGAGGCTGACAATGCCAAAGCAATCTGGGTTTGTTCATCAAGGTCACTGAGAATAAAAAACTCTCATTGCTAGTTAAAACCTTTGCATAAATCGTTTAACAATGTCTGTACAAAGAATGCACAAATTCATCAACCAACAAATCCCTACACGTGCCTCTACAGAAACTTGGTCAAGCTTCAACTAGGTGTTGTCGAGGCATACATGTAGCCCTTGCCCTGCACAGGACTACCAGGAAGCTGTGTACTAAGAAAAATTATAGGGAGTCCAACGCTCTTACCCTGTGAAGTCCAGGGTGCCCGACATACCGTTAACTTTTATCTCAAACTTTTAACCAGCCAACTTCAGCCCCACAAAGTTGTACTATTTTGTTTCCACTTAAGAGGTTCTACTGTATACAAGACCTCCATGATCCGGTGTTCTTACCAGACTGCAGCATTGCGGCATTGCCGCACTTTTTTGGGAAATGCCACACTGTAATTAGCCCAAGGGATCCCATGGGTGCAAGGAAAAAAAACCTATTACAAAACATACGTACATTTCATTGTAATAAGAGCCAAAATTTAATATTGGTTATGGCGTCTTTAGAACACAGTCATCATTATCTTAGACTCAGACCTGTGAAAATGTTGAGTAAACTGTATCTTAAAAATCGTGCCAGCTTTTCTCCCTCATGACCCCATTTTATCTTCTCCATGGGTCCTGTAGACCCTAGTGTATGAAATCCTGGTAAGAACACTGATGATCTAACCTCTTTGGTGCAACAGCTCTTCTCTTCCTCTTAACTCTGCCAGGATGTTCATTTGTTGCTCGTTCTGTTGCAACAGTTGCCATAGAAATGGAATCTTCCTGGTGCTTTTCATGATGCATGATTTCTAGAAGCTGGTTTATTCCCACATTGTATTCTTGTGCGCACTTTTTGAGATGTGCTTGTCTTGACTGCAAAGAGCAGAACAATAGACTCTGTAGTTGTGTAAAGAGTATCCTGGGGTTGGAGATGACCTTGTTTTGATAGAAACCTCACTGCTTTTCAAAATGTAAAACTTTCTCTTTTGCATACATGTAAGAATGGTACTGAGGTTTCTATCAAAACAATTTCACATCCAGCCTTGCTTCCACTCAAAGGCTAAGCTACTTAGCATACAACTGTAAACTGGCCTTTTGAATTATTAAAACAAGTAGGGTGAATGTATCCAACGGGACAAAAAAATTGGATCATATGTAAAGGGGTTCTTTGTAGAGGAACGACTTGACAGTTCAGTTTTTACCGGGAGATGCTTTCTCCATACAGTTATGACAGACTTGGGAGATAAACTGCAATAGAAGGATGCAGTGAGGCAGTGGACTGAATTCAGTTTCTACACCCACAAGACACATTCCATAGTGCTTTCCACATACCCCTTACTAATATAGGTGATTCTTATACTTGAGAATTCTTAAGTGATGTAAATATATATTTTTTTGGTGTTCATCATTTTGTTATCGTTTGGCCATATCACTTTGCAAAAATATTCTAGAGGTACATTTTCAAAACACACAAGCACTGATATACCTTCAAAGATTTAAATCCTTTGCCACATATAGGACACTGTAACTGAGTTGAAGTTTGTCCTTGAACTCTGTTTAACTGCCCTGTGTCTTTAACTTTACTTGCCTCATCACAACACCTATTGACATGCTGCTGACGTCGCTGGGAATTCATCCTAGATAAATCTTTCTGACAGAGTTGACAGAAGAACATCTCTTCTTCCATTTTTTCAGTGCCTGGTTCAGAAGAATCATTTTCTGTGGTCCTGCAGTCAGAGCCACTATCAAGGCAGCTGTTAATGTGTCTATTAAAAACATCCATATTTTCAGTTGGTGGGAATGTTAGACCACAAACAGGACAATCACGTTTTCTGTTACAATCTTCTCTACTTTCTTGACATTTCGGATCTTGGATGACTTGTAAATCATCAGCTTCTACTTGTCCAACATTATCACCACAGATGCCTTCATCTCTAAGTGTTGTACCACCAACTTCCTGCAATGCACTCCCTCCTGTGTCTAGCTTGTGAAACAAAACTTCTGTACAATCCGCTGCCCTGTTCCCAGCACAAGATTTATCTGTAGGTTCAACTTCAGACCCAGCATTGTCTGTGCATTTCTCTAATTGTATTAAAGGCTGTTTTAAACACGTTACAGCATTACGTGCCCGTTTGAACTTGGAAACTGTACTGCTAAAACATGAGACTTCAAGTTCTTCAGACGCAATCCTTTTCCGCTTGTTATTAACAAGAGGGGCTGTTCCTGGCAGTTCACTTGTGTCATCACTCTCTTCATCAAGAAATTCAAATACATCCTTTTGGTTATTTCTTGACTTCCCTGTGAGAATTTTAGCTTCCAAAGTTTCCTCAGTCAACACTGCGAATTCATTCTCCAAATCATCAGTCCTTTCAATTAGATGTGAGCATTGTGACCGTTTTGATTTAAGAACTGTAAATACTTTTCCAGCAGCTTCATTGGATGAAGGATCATCTACGGTAGTTTTCTCTGCTTTAGAACGCTTGTTACGTGACAAGCATCTCTTAGATCGAGTTCGTTTTTCTTCACCCGACATCTATGTACAATTGGCGATTCTCCCATTGGAATGTGAATAATATTATTCGTCAAATTTGCAATTCACATATTTTCGATGCTAGTCAGTGACATTTCGATTCGAATAGTACATATTAACATTTGCACAAATCAGTCTAATCCGCCACACACCGCAATATGAATGCTCCTCAAACCGAAACCAAAATTGAAAACTATATTAAAACGAAAACCTGTAACTTGGCTCAAAACGCTCGCAATCAACGATTAGATTTCTTCTCATCGATTTTTTCCTTAACTGTGCGACGGAATTCCAGTGCCTTGTGAATGCTGTATTCCTTCCTCTGCGCTTGCTCCTCGGTGTTAATAATAAGCTTGTACCTGTGATAGAATCCAAAACCAAATAATATCAACGTTCCTCCAAAAATCAGTGGAAAAACTGTCCCGCGAAACGCCATATTTGCTCCCGCTCGGCACGTGTCGTAGGTACTTCATATATGATTCATGTGTTTCATGTGGGTAACCGCTGAGCGCTGTATTTGATGAGCCTGTTGCGTGTGGTCTTGCCTTTTCAGCGTGCACGTCTGGCGTTTTCGTGTTGAGATACAACGATCATTTTGTATCTTCCTCTACCATTAGGTAAGTGCTCCTTTGTAAAGTTCAAGCTAGTGCTACGATCATAGCACAATGCCCTATTTTATTTGAAAACGGCTAGTTTTAGTTCTTCGGGTGGCAAACGCTCAGCTGACAGCCATGCGTCACATGGCCGACGGCCGGGTTGGCACGAAACAAATATTAACGACGTGGAGGTGCATATATTTTAATTTAATTCTTGGCAACATAAACAAATCTAACGTAAAGGATTAAGGGATCAGTATAAGATTCTGGGACACTGCCCAGTGCTGTCAACCCCCAACATCTTCAAATATTATTGAGAATGGGATAATAGATGACGTCATAATGCTCGAAACATGACGTCATTTGTGCAGAAAACATGTGAAAAAGATGTTGTTGGAATTGTAAAATTTGTACCTGATTGGCTTACTTCCTACCAATCACATTATTGCTTATGTTAAATACAATGGCATACCGGGGTTTCCAAGGAAACATTCGATGTTAAAAGTTTAATTTATAGCTCAAACAACGCAAAATATTTGAAATTTGATTGACAGAAAGATTTCAGACTCTAATCTGGAGACCGGGAGTAACAGTTCAAAATCGGGAGTCTTCCGGATTATCCAGGAGAGTCGACAGCCATATTCCTACTTAGGGCAAAATGTTGGGTTAGGGGAGGGGTAAGCAGTTTGTCCAGACTGTTATATCCTTCTTTAGTAGAGCTGTCTGCATAGGTATTGCTAGTCTCCCTTGCAGACATTTTTGTATTGTCACACAACGTTCCACCCCAACAAACGGCTGCTCACATTCAAACCACATTCCTTTCCAGATTTGAGCTAATCACAGCTATTTTCTGGAACTGTTTGGTGCCAAATTATCCTTTCATGTGCCGTCCATTGATAGCCTGCATTCTGCATGTGTAGTGTAAAGTTTTCTCTTAGAAGGCCGTTATTACTGGGCTGCCTGTGCGCCCAGTCATAAAATGGGCTTTCGGTCGTCTGCGGTGAAAAACGGCCTCCCGGGGGAGGGAAGACACGAGGGTCTGGTACCGAGAAACGATGTTCTCACAAATGGTTTCATATGATTTTCTCTTGCACGATCCCTTGCACGGATACTTTTTGTACCTCGTCTGCGCTCCCCCTGAAAAACCCACAAAGCGTTGCGAACCTGAAGAAGGCTATTTGCGTTGTTCGAAGCGATTCGATCATGGGAGTCACTCTATAATTGTTTTATTGTTCGAGTTTAAGTCAGTTAGATGATGTTGGCGCTGGGAAACTCAGCGAAATACTGACCGACACGCCGACACGCCGTTCACGGTAGGTTCACACTAAAAGATGACTGTGAGCGTCAGGTTTGAAATGCCGTGGCCGCTTCGTGAACTCAAAGAGAGAATTATCGATCGATGTAGTACATGAGCAATTAAGAAGCACAATTTATGAGCAAGGTATTTCACCAGTTGACGACACTAGCACTATGGCCGAAGACTTGATTGTAAGCCTTCGTAGTCAGTGAAGCGAACAACTCAGTTGCCGATGAATGGCACTACGCACTTCCATGAGCAAGGGACGTGACAACTTTGCCATGTTAGAAGACTGGCTTTTCCTTTAAATATTTCCTTCTATTTAATGCAACACACGCCACTTTGAAGGACTAAATTTCGGATACTGAGGATAAAGAAGACACGGACAAAAATAGGGACTCTGAGAATTTCGCACACAAGTTTAAAGCTTCTCCGGGACATCCCATCCGGGAGCTTCACAGAGAGCGACTTGAGGAAAATAGGAGCTATTACTGACAAGGTTTGGTGACTAAGTAGAGCATACAAGTGTAGCCCACGTCGAGGTTTCAGGGGGTTTGCTTTTGTTTGTATTTGTATCTTGCTAAGCTTTTATCATTAAATTTGTACATGATCTTGTGATCACAATTCTGTGTTTTCGCCCATTCAGCAAGCACGCTATATTGATGTCAGCATTAGCGAGTTTCAGAAACATGCCTTTGAAAGTTTTCAGCTCTCGTGATGTTTCTTGATATTTCTTTTACCATTTTATGGAGATGTAAACTGAAGTCACCGCAAAATGGAAACTTAAACAAGCGTATAATCCATTTATCTCGAAACATAACACACATGACTTATACGACCTTTATTTTCGTGAAGGTGTTTTGAATACGAACGAACACAGTCAATGTGAGGGGCTAAAACAGCATTAATATAAATGAACCATAGGATTTTAACTAATATAAGGGTCAATTATTGTGCAATATTGAGATGAATCGCTTGAAAAGAGAGACTTCGCTTGAAAATGTGATGACAGGTAAACAAAGGCATAATAGTGCGTCACGTTCAGTCTTTTTAATATCCAAGGAGTCACTGTGAATAGTGATTCCATATTGTTTAGCTGGCACAAAAACTTCGGACGAGTTATAAAGCGGCATAGTTATTTTCCATGAAGAAAAGTTTGTCTTGGGTGAGACAAACAGAACTGGAGCGAATTTTTAACTCGCATCGGTATCAGGTAAAAAATATGTTATCAATCGTTTCATCTATCTACATTGTTTGAAGTGCGTGCTGGTGAACGCAACATGCGAGCGAGAAATCTTTAAACTTTTTTAGGTCTCAAAATGCAAAGGATTTTATTCCTTTAAGTTAGAGAAAAATACCATGAGGAAAATCTTAAAACTGAATATTTTTCATCTTGTGGAAAAAATAGTGCGTTTTCTTGTAGACTGTGGACCGCAAATTAGGATCGCACTTTTCACAAACATGTGAGTTCGGAAGCCAACCGACGATTGCGTTTTTCGCTGCTGTCAATCATCTTAACGGACCTCTTAGGAAACAAAACTTTACTTCACGTGGATTTCGATCCGTTTTGTGTGTTTCTCTGTTTCAAGGTTCGTTGCTTCTGATCGTAATTATGATTGACGGTAGCGATAAACACGATTGTGAAGGTGGCTTTTGAACTTTAGAGTTCGCATGTTTGTGAAAAGCGCAGTAAAGTCTCCGTGCAGCCCTGGATCAGGCGGGATCAGTGGGCAGTTAACTGTCTGTTTTAGTATACTTCTGGTTTTCATACAATACAATATTTCTGTCTAGTGTAAATCAGCTCAGTCTGTCGCATTTTATGCTCGTAGAACGACAACAATTTTTGGAATTTCCAGTTACGTCAAATTAGTCACGTTATACTGTCACACTATATTTTGGGGCACAGAGGGATTGGGGGAGGGGTACGTGGAAATAATGCAAATTGTTTCCTGCTTCGAATTAATGGCTAACTTGTTTATTCTTATTCATAATGGTGGAATTTAAAAGTTATTATACAGCCCCCGCTTAAAAATGGTACTCTTTTTTTTTGGTTACAAAAGTCTTTCAAAAGGGTACAATGTTCTGAATGAGTTTATGTTTCAGTCTCACGTGAGGTTCTGTCGCATGCAATGGTTGCTGACAAGGTTTTATGGTAGCCTGAGTGTGTATAGCCACCCGATCCCTTCAGAAAAAATAGCCCCTTTGCAGCCCAGTTAAAAATCGCCTTTCAGCGATTCTTGTTTGTCATGCACAAGCATTAATGTAGATATTAATCCATAATTAAAATACATCTAGACCCGTGAATGGACAGCCAGGATGGGAGAAAGGCAACCGCAACCCTCCTTGTGACGGGAAGGGCATAGATGACCGCATGACAGCCGCTAAGATAGAGAGTAATAGCCACTCTTCAGGAATGTTCTTGTAAACTGACTACCTTGTCATTTTCAGATTGAACAAGATCCACATCATGAGGTTGGTTATCGTCGATGACTATACCCAGTTGTCAGAGTGGGCAGCCAAGTATGTGCGTAACAAAATTCTCAAGTTTAACCCAGGACCAGACAAATATTTTGTTCTTGGTCTGCCAACAGGTACTGATTTCAGAAGAAATAATATATTTGTTGTTGTTAATTTTTTATCTCAGGTAATGTTTCTTTTTCTTTTGTTTCAACTTCATTGGCATACCGGTACATTACCATACCTAAAAATGAAAGAAAAACAAAAATTACTTGAAATGAAGAATCAACTGTAACATTTATCCATATTTTACTAGCAAAAGGTTAATTTATTGCCTTTGATATAAATTCCTTTACCTCACCTATGCTTCCAAGCAAAATTGCAAAAGTATATAATGTATTTATGATTGCTGTTCATTTATGGTAAGTATATCCATAACAGTACCACAATTTGAATCATTGTTCTCTCAGAATGCCTTACAGTTTACCTGTTTTATATAATGTCAGATGACCAGTCCTATGATCCATATTTTACATGTTTCTCTGGAATTTTTCAGTGAGGAAGATGTACATTGTAATCATGGGCCAGGGTCAACAGGATTCACCCGAAGCATCCCAAACACCAGGCAAAAACCCCTTTGACTCAGAGTTATTACATTTAGTTGGGACTGGTGGGCCACACCAATCCAGTTGTAACAAAATTACAGATTCCCAGCTAGATTATGGCTGGTTCTCAGGGTTCTCAATAGATTTTTAAGTAGGAGGTGATCACTGATAAAGTAGGAGGCTCTTCAGCAAAGCCAGAGGTGTGAAAACAAAGCAAAGAAAAGCGACTTAAACACAAAGTAAGCGGCTATAAATCCCAAAGTAAGCGGCGATCAATCGCTGGGTGCCGCCTTCTATTGAGAACCCTGGTTCTGAAGAAGGCTCTGGTTTCTAGCAAAAATGGTCTTTAAAAAAGCCCATATCATTTTCAAAGACCAGTCTGACTGGCTAGCTAGGATTTTTGGTTGTCATGAAAAGTCTCTGAAATGGTGTGTAAGGCTGTTTTCTAGGTTCTCAATATTATTTTGAAGGAGTAATTAAATTCTGGTCTCTTTAATTTTTGTACACTTCAAGGAGTGAAAGTGATAGGAAATGTTAAGAGAACTCATATTTTTTTTCTACGCATTGTTTAGGAAGTTCACCTCTTGGAATGTACAGGAAGCTGGTGGAATTCTGCCAAACGGGGGAGCTTTCTTTTAGATATGTCAAAACTTTTAACATGGATGAATATGTCGGCCTTCCACGAGATCATCCTGAAAGCTACCATTCCTATATGTGGGAAAATTTCTTCAAGGATATCGATATTGAGCCTAAAAATGCCCATATTCTTGATGGGAATGCTGATGATCTTGATGAAGAATGCAATAATTTTGAGAAAATGATAAAGGAAGCTGGTGGAGTTCATCTCTTTATTGGAGGTAAGTTGTTTTCTAAAGCGTCCTTATTCATTTCCTCTGATACTGTTTAGTTATGTCTCATTCCTATACACTTTTGAATTTTTAATGAAGATTTTTTGAAGGGTCTTTGGATAGTATCTAAATAAAATTTGCCCATGACCATGGAAATCTTTACTGTGGTTGTCCAGAAATTGTAATGACACTTTTAGTGGGAGTTATGTAGACAAGTATGTCATACTCTAATATCTGATGTATTCTGGGACTGAGCAGTTTACTGCAACAATAAATTGTAGAGTTTGTTGATATTTCATATGAAAGTCAACAAAAAATTACAGTAAATGAAGGCTTGTCATTTTGATCTCACACAAAAAAAACTATGTGTGAAATAATGCAAAGAAAATTTTATAAAAGTGTTGTGCTCCTCTTAGAGTATTAAGGTTGCCTCCTCTGGAGTTTTTAATAACATTCTGCCTAATACAGACTGCTATCTACTCACTTCAGCTGCTATATTGCTGCTGATTTCTTTGCACCTAAAACTCAAGGTAAGGAATTTGAATGCAGCAACTACCCTATAATTTTTACAGGTATTGGTGATGATGGTCATATTGCGTTCAATGAACCTGGATCGTCGCTGAAATCAAGGACAAGGGTGAAGACCCTGGCAAAAGACACCATTGTAGCTAATGCACGCTTTTTTGATAATGACATCAGCAAGGTCCCCACCATGGCTCTTACGGTGGGTGTGGCCACGGTGATGGATGCTCAAGAGGTAAGGGGCAGATAATTAATTTTAGACTGAGATAAAATGTGAGGTGCTGCTTTTTTAGGTATAGAGAAGACAGAAACCTTATGAATCCTTCTACAATTCATAGCTCGAAAAAAATCCCCGTCTGAAAGTCCAGGATAGATTTTCTTGCTGGGCAAGTAACTTTTAAGGCTGACTTGCCCATCGGCAGGTGTCGAGGCAAGCCTGTTGTGCAAAAGGCAAGCTGGAATATTCAAGTTTTTTTTTGAGCTCAGTATCGTTGTACATGTATGGAAATACATGTTTCAGCTGAGTTTGATGATTGAATTTGCTCTCCAGGGGGCTCTGGTGGTGGAGTGAAAAATGAACCAGAGCATACCATGGCTGATAGGGACAAAACACTCCAAGAATCCAAAACACGTCCAAGAATCCTAAAGTGTTTTATAGTGTTTTTAGATTCTGGGAAGTGTTTCGTCCTTAGCTTGCAGGCTAAGTAGCAACATAGTGGACGAGTTTTTTGTTTTCTGTTTGGAAAAACTTTGTGTTTTCCATTATAGGTTCTAATTCTGATCAGTGGTGTAAAGAAAGCTCTTGCTCTCCGTCACGCCACAGAGGATGGCATGAATCACATGTGCACAGTATCTGCTTTTCAGCAGCATCCTCACACACTGTTCTTAGTGGATGAAGATGCCACAATGGAGCTGAGAGTACGGACAGTCAAGTACTTCAAAGGTTTGATGGATGTTCACAACAAACTGGTTGAAGATCCACAGGACCCGACTGCTCCACCAAGTGCAAAAAGGCTTAAATCTGTGGAAGAATCAAAAACTAAATGAAATATTCCTTAGTGACTGTCGTTTTGTGAAAATAAGTCCAAAGTGATCAAAAGGCTTGAAAAGCCTTTTAAAAACAATAATATACCATAAATCCTCTATTGTGCCACCTGGTGGTTTATTTATTTCAAGCACGTTTTAGGTGGTGGGAGCTTAATCGAAAGGGGGTTTCAAGCTCGTTTGAAGGGAGCGGGGGGAGCTTATCTAACTTAATATATTGCATTGCTGGTAGCAGAAAAACAGGAAGGAACAGACCTAGTTACTGTTCCCTTCCTCCTGTTTTGGACCAGGGCAATGATTGTCTAACATGGAGATTTAAAGATAATTATATGTGTTGAACAAGGTATTTCAACATCTTTTTTCACTTGTGGGAACCTTGAAATATGTGAATTACAAAATTCATGAATTTTAAAATGAAAACCTAAACAAAACGTTAAGCTAAATCTAAATGTAAAAACTGAATACCCGTATACGCAGTTCATTGAAGAAAAATTGTCCTGATGGTTATGATTCAATGTCAGTGTTATGGATTTCATCGTTCACATCCAAAGTAAGGTACAACGTCTTCCTAAACCATCAGGGGCACCCAAAGTCAATTTTCGGAAAATATCTGTTGGGAAGACATTTGAGATCTAGAATTTTAGGAACATTTGTTGTAACATTTCTTGCTTACCTGCCTCTCCTAGGATTTTCGAACAGCTAAAAAATGGTATAATTGCCCGTTTTTAACGGATTTTTTCCCTAAAAAGGTCACCTAGAATTTTCGGAGCCTTTTTTCTGGCTGAAATTTTCGAAAAGATAAGTTTTGATCCCTATAATTTTCGGATCACTAGAATTTCAGCTAGGAAATCCGAGCAGATGAAAAATTTTTAGGGGATAAAAATATGCCAATATCTACCGTTTAAATACTAAAATACGTTAACAATACTATATTTAAGTGGTTTTGAACTGTATTCTCGTTGGTTGCCCCTGAAACCATCTCTTTTTCAGAAACATTAGTATCAAAAGGACTGATCCCTCCTTCTTAAGGGAGGGCTTATTAGACAAGGAGGCTTAATAGAGGATTTATGGTACTGCAGTTTGTTTTAAGTTCTTATCGATGTAGTTGATAGATGCAAGTATAAAAGAGATTAATGAGTATTTTTCAGTTTTGAAATAAAAGGGATAATTCTAAAGCAAGCCGGCCAGGAAAAGCTTTGATGTACTTTGTATGATGTTTTAAATGTCGTACCGTTTAACTCTATACTCCCTGAGTACGTGGCTTAGGTAGGATAGTCGTCAAGAGAGCATGCTCAAAATGAGAGTCGGGGGGCGAACGAACATTAACAACAACAAGTTTATTTCCACTGTAGACGAAAGGAACTGTAGTTCGCTCGCCCGTTCTCGCCCGCGATCTGTTAATCTCGTACCCAGATCTCTTTTCCGCGAAGTTAAAGGCGACAAGAGATCTGGGGACGAGATCAACGATGTACCTGGGTTACCTGGGTGTACGACAGTCCTGAAAGATTGCTAACAGTTGAGGGACATCAAGACTACTGTCCTTTTGGCGCTTTTGACGCCTGCAGTTGTCGCTATCAAAATAGAACAACTATCGATTAAGGTCACTGAAACATAGCAACTGTTGATAAGCTTTTCTGACCATTCAAAACCACTTTGTCAGTACCTTTACATGGTACTGTTCGTTTTTTAGCGTTTTACAAAATGAAATTTGGAATTTTTGCCTATTTCAGTTATGACTTTGGCTTTCCAACGGTTTTCTACTTTTAGAGAGTTTACTGTACTTTTGGTGTATCCTCCATGCCGCCGTCACATGAAACAGTCGCCTGCGAGCAAGCTCTATCTTTCCCCTGCCACTCGCTCCTGACTTAAAAAACAGACAAACAGTCTGTCAGTGTCAAAAACCGGCCAGAAAACCCTGTGCATTTGGCCTTGATTTTCACCGGCTATTGTCATGAAAGAGGTGGGGATGGACATAAAGAAACCAGAAAATAAAATAGTTAACGTCATTCAGTTTGGGATAGTTTTCCCGCGAAATGATGTCTGTGAGACGAGCGCAGAAAGTCCATTCTGATGACGTGTTCTACCCACATATGGGTAGTATTCTGATGGGTAGCGCTGCGAGGGAAATTTTCTTTAGCCAATCGGAAGCACTACCCAGATCTGGGTGGTAACACTTATCACCATGAAATTTCTGCAGTCTTTTCTCAAACTTCACTTCACGAGGAAACAAGTGGTGTCGTCGCGAAACCGTTACGGTTTCACGTTTACGCCGACTCGTGTAAACACCTAAACCCGGTTGCAAGTTTTTGCACAGTTTGAGAGGTAAAAGCCTGGCACGACGCGCCTTTCATTAAAAAAAATCCAATATTGACACTGGCAAAATTTGCACGGATTCGTTTAAACAATGAAGTGCCGTAACAGAATTTGCACGGTGACTCCACGGTGTGTTAACGGGTCGCACAGGTAAATATTCATTCGGATCCGTGTAAACTGGGTCTCTGTCAGTGCCTAAATGGTACATAGGTCGTTCAGTTTCACTACTAACAACGGTCAAATTTGTCGACCCACGCCAGGGTAATTGAAATTTCACGGATCTTTTGTCTGTTAGGCTTTTAATGAAACAGACTGAAAAAAACTGCATCGATAACTGTCTTGGACGGTTTATTGTAATCAGTATCGATAATGCCGTGTTCTTTTCAAAATGAATTGCTCTGCATTTTTTATTACGGCACAGCTTGTGTAGCTGATAAAATACCTGTAAAACCGCTGGTTTTCCTTAACTTTTTCAAACTTTTGAGTCTCTTAGGTGAAATCCTAACGTGATCGTTCAACTTACAGGGGCACTCAACGTCAATTTTCGGAAAATATCTGTTCGGAAGACGATTTGAGATCTAGAATTTTCGGAACATTTGTTGTAAAATTTCTTGCTTGCCTACCTCTCCTAGAATCTTCGAACATCTAAAAATTGGTATAATTGCCCATTTTAAACAGATTTTTACCCTAAAAAGCTCACCTAGATTTTTTGGGATTTTTTTTTCTGGCTGAAATTTTCTAAAAGGTAAGTTTTGATCCCTATAATTTTCGGATCCCTAGACTTTCAGCTAGGGCTGGGCTTCCCAGTTGGCGTGGTTTACTTTATTTAAGTGTCATTTGTCTAATTAATGATTTAGTTATTACAAGAGGCACCAGGCTTTTCGCGGTATTAAAGCTCTTCTGGACTGGCCAGCGTGGCTCGTGTACGTGAGCGTAACGAAACGCAAAAACTTAGTTGGAACAATTTGACTGTAGTGCCAAAGCTGTCTCTAGAGGGATAAACAACGATCGTGGTCAGACAATTTCTTTATCAGTGTTTTGTCTTCCTACAAAATTGAACGACGTGAGACTGAGTTTGTAATGATCTAAAACAATAAAAGTGGCGCCCATAGAAAATCGTTGCGGTTTCATAAAACATTTTCACCGACGCTCTTATATATCGAGTGCTCAATGCCTTTTTATCCACCAATTACGGGCAACTGCTAATTAGTTTGAGTGTCAATATTCTGGCATTTATTCAAAGCCACCGAACTAATACGAAGCATTGCACAACAAAATGAGTTGTGGACTCCATCTTCAGGCCCGACTGGTGATATCATAAGCAAGTGCTCGCTTTTGGTACCGGGTTGATATTTTTACAGGTACCGTCTCAATATTGTAATTTTTTTTCATCACTTATGTGACAACTATCACTGCATGGGTTCCATTGCCCTTATATTATCTTCTAAATTTAGAAACACGTTCTGTTTGAAAAACAATATAAACCACGGTTGTAACTGACACAACCTCAGCAAAAACTTATCATATCTCCTAAAACTCACAACGATTCCCGCAAAACTTAAAAAAAACAGTCATTTGAATCTTATTCAAATTCATATTCAATCTTAAGAGTACAAGGTATTTTTTTCACAAAATGTTATTGACAATTGTTGCTTGTTGCTCAAAGAAACGGAGCACCTCAAAATTGAAAACTTTCACTAAGATCTTCGAATTTGTTCAGTTCTGCCTGTTATTGGTGTAACGGTGTGTAAAGTTTATTCCGCAAATTTTTGTTTTGCTTGTACGTATTTTACCAGAGCCTATACATAATGAATATGTTTATGCTTCTTGATCGATCCCAGTATTTCATCTCGTTTCTATATCCCTAGGAACAGTGGAAAATCGGCCAGTTAAACTGCAAGGGTAGTCACTTTAATCTCGGCTGCTGCCCTGTATCGGTAAGCAAACTAAGATTGTTAGGTCTTGTTAAAATTACTGAATGTTATAGACGTTTTCCATCTGAATTGTTTCATACTTTAGTTGTCTGAGATAGCATCTTACAAACACCTTGGTTTAAAGTCCCATATGAGCCATTTTTGTGCTTCTGGAAATCGAAAATTTGTATCCTCGTCTCAAACCTGCAAATTAACCATTACAACAGGCGTAGTTTGAACTTGCTGCCAAAAATCTCGACCAAAAGCGGGGCTTTTCGCCGTCTTCGCCCTGAATAAAGAATCAATACGGAACGAATCAAATCCTAGTTTCTTGATAAAATGTTGCCGTCAACTTTCACAACGGCTGAACAGTTGAGTAGCATGATAGAAATTTAAATTGTTCACTGGGCTAAAATAAACCCCATCAATTCCAGGTCGAGCGCTCAACCATTATCAAACAAAGATTTCTGGAATCCGGGTCTAGAGGGCAGGAGTGTAACAATGGCATTCTTAGACTGTTATTACAATTAACTCGGATTTCAGCAAATAGACAAAGAAATGAGTTTTTCTATTTAGATTCTTTGGGACCCATGACCTTGGAGATATTATCAAAGTGTAATATCATGTTTAATTTCGACGTACAATGTATATTCTTCGCACTCAGTCAACAAAAAAGCCGAGTTATTTAGAAGAAAGAGTGATTTTGATTTCGGTGTAATTTTTGGATACCTCCATTTTCCTATTTTAAGGTAAATTCTTTGATTTTTCGTACGTGTTAGTTCTCAACCACAAATTTCTTCCGCGGCCAGTTTCTGAACGCAAGCCAAACCAATCGGTAACATTTATCGCGGAATCTAAGCACAATCAATGGTTCAGTAAAGAAACAAATTTTTAAATGATGAAAATTAGTTAATCTTTTTAAGATAACCATCATGGTGTCGGAAGCTAGTGCATTTCTTTTGTTAGCCGTGCGTCGAACCAATTATCAGGAATGTTGTTAGAATTTTCCCCAGTTTCGATCAATTGCTGGACAGAGATTAAATTCGATGTTCGGTACGTGGTTTCCACAGGAGATCATTTGTTCTGAATGAACGCTCAATTTATGACTCAGAATTATGGTGACTGACAACGATGAGATTTTATTGCGTCTTTTTATGATTGGCTAAAATAAATAATAGTGCCTAGGCCTCTCCAAGACAAACCGTTCGACGGTTAAGGGTCAAAAACAAGCTATGCCCGAACACCTGCATGCGAGATGTAAGGACATTCCTCAAGGACATTAGTCTAAAGAGACACGGACCTTATTTGTAACCACTTTGCGAACCACCACGAAACAATGAAAACATTTTATTGAAGGCATGACAATAGGAATTTAAGCAATATTGCAAATTAACCTGAAAAAATTGGGGGCTTGAATGGGATCCGTACTCATTCTTGGCCTTTGATTTGGCGCTGCAGTGCTCTACCAACTGAGCTGTGAGGACCAACACATTGGAAGCAGGCCAATTTCTCGTGAGTTCAACTTAACCCGTGATGTAAGATGGCTGCCGGAGTGGATATTGCTGGGCCGAGTTCTTTTGTAGCGAATCTATTGAGAGATCCATAAAAAATACGTAAAAACAATAAACAATAAAATAGGTACTAAAAACAAACTGCAACTTTCTCTGGGTACCCCGTCCACCGTTTTTAAAGTTTAATTTTTAGAAGCTTTTATATCAGTCCTCACTGCATGATGTGAAGGAGTTTAAAGGCCAACTTTGGTAAATAATAATACTTAAGGAGGCTATTATAAAACGGCAGAAAAACTTTTTGAATCAGCTTGTCATTAGACTCTAAGAAATAATGTTGCGGTTGTTAATAGCAACAAATTAAAAAAACAACAACTACAACAACAATGTTTCTAACCCCCTCCCTCGTTGTGAACACATAGATAAATTTG